CCGAAGGCAAGGTTGGGCGCCAGACGCGCCCGCGGGCAGCGTCGAATATCTACCGCGAGACGACTCCTCGTACGGGAACGGCGGCGTCGATCCGCTCGACGCGCACCGCGAATCCGCCTCCTCGACGCGACAAGGGCCGGCTGCTCGCCACCGTCGGCAGAGTGGCAGGATCCCGTAACTACGGGCCCGCGGGAACGGGACGTCGGGACGGGGCGCAATACACGCACACACTTAGACTAGCACACAAAATGATCTCGACTCGGGTTAAGAGAATAATGTAGGCGGTTTAATAGATCGGATACAACCAAACGGCAAAGAGAATAGGCCAGGGGCCTCCGCTGAGGCGAATGCGCGATCCGTCGGCCTCGCGAGCCTCCTCGCGGGAGGCCGCTCACGCTCGCGACACGCGGCCCGCGGCCGACACCCGGCGGGCCGGTCCGCCGCGAGAGAATTTCCCGGTGCGGGTCCAACGGCGCCCGCCCGAACAACGGCGCACGGGGCGTCCGCTCTACTCTCCCCTCCGAGGTCGCAACAACCGATACCCGCCCGCTACGTCCGCCCGATAAGCCCACGGCCGTCCCCTGGGAGCTCCCGCGCTTGGCACCGCCGATCCGCTCGCGACACGAAATGGCCGGTTCCGACTCCCCCTGGGAGCGGACGCCCGATAGCCCGAAACACTAAACGAACGCGGCGCGGTGCCAGAACGCGAGCTAACCCCCTCGGATGCACGCGGCTTTCACATAAGTAATTCTCCCTTCGAGGGCCACCTCACCGGCACGCCTCCTGGAGTTCCACGGCGCGGTCCCGGTCGGCACTCGGCTCCTCGGCCTCTCGATCACGGGCTGGACACGTGCCCGGCACTCTGCTCGCCGCACAGTGGGGTTTTTTCCCGAAAACGTGGACAAAATTCAAAATACGAATTTCGGATAAATGAAATTTTGACTATTGGTCTGGGTAGAGATGTAAATTCTGCGTGAAATGCCGTTGAGCCCATGCCTTTACGTTCTGTAACTTTCTCAGAACTTTAGTTCAAAGTTGCGCTTCATAGATGTCGCACGTATTGACCGATGTTTTGCCACGAAATACCGCAGTATTGTAAAGGGTATAACTTTTTTGTTATCACTGATAAGAAAACTTGGCAAAATGGATTCTCTTCCTGGAAGTACGTACAATATTTTACTCTATAGATAACATTTTATAATTTTCATTAGTGTCTTAGAACAGCGCGTATTTGTAGTAACGAGAAAAAATGTTCAAATTTCGGAAGAAAAATTTGTTAACTAACCTAAAAGTTGCATTATCCACGACATTCCGCTTGATTTCGCAAACAGAATTTTTGTTTAAACTATCATGTGTCAAATTATGAAAGAATTAGCTGCTAATATTTGCTAGCCTTGCTTTACGAGAATTTTTTAAGCGCGCTCCGCTGTGCTTAAGCGGTCTATCGAGCGAGAGCGGTGAGAGCAAATAGACGACGTGTTTTTTTACAGTTTCATGACAACAAAGACATATAACATTACACATAATATAAACAAAACCGATCTTAGCTCGATGTTTGTATCGATATGACTATTTTTCAGTTAATCAATTGTTAGAAAACCTTAGAGTTGTCTCGCAACACATGTTTTATATAATTTTTGTAAGATTACTTTTTCCTGTGTATAATTCAGGTTCTGACGATGAATCAGTAATATTAACACGGATGGAAATATTCGTCATGCTACAGTCATGCCTGAACAAGGATTTTAAAGATAAAATTCTATATTTGGAACAACAATTGTCAGACAAAATAAAGAGCTCTGTAACGATTCGTTCGAGTTTAAGACCATTTTTATCAACTCTTTTTTCAAAACTGAATAAAAAGTGGCAATATTCTTCAAGAAATATCGATTTTTTTCGAAAAAAAAAAGATTGTTGGCTCAGCGGTGCAGTATCAATTCCACTATGTGGCAATGTTGGAACAAAAATAATCAAGGGTCGTCCTTCAATGGATTTTAATAGTTGCTCCGAACGATCGAAAAGAAGGAAAACCTCAATTATTCGAAAAACAACGCCTATGCAAGAATTAACGTATGCGGCTCAAATGAGTTTAAGATCTTCAGGGCAAATAAACGCAGCGAAACTTGTAAAAGAAGTAACGACAACGAGTCCTACAAGAGCTACGAAGTACATACAAGCATATACAACGAGCCATGAAACGACAATGTCTGCAAGCGAAGCACTCTCTGTTATGGTGGAAGGGAAACTTACAAGAAAGTAATATAATGTTATAAGATCGGCAGCAAAGAATAATAACTGCAAATTATTTCCTACATATGAAGCAGTTTGAAAGGAAAAGAAACGATGTTACCCACCTCGTACATCTATGACTATTACGGAAACGATTGCAGAAGTTAAAGTACAGAGTTTATTGGACCATACGTGTGAACGCCTTTTGTTAGCCCAGTCAGAAGTTATTCAAGTATTGCCTCAAGAAAAATTGATCAATATTCAATTAATTTGTAAGTGGGGATGTGATGGAAGTTCAGGACAGAGTGAATACAAACAAAAATTTGATAATTGCAAATACTCAGATGAAAGTATATTTCTGACATCACTAGTTCCATTACAACTTATATCTGGCGACGAAAATTCGGAGGAAAAATATGTATTGTGGAAAAATCCAAGACCCTCATCTCCTAGATTTTGTCGACCTATAAAAATACAATTTTGTAAAGAAACTGTCGAATCAACGGTCAACGAAGTAAAACATATCGAAGATCAAATTACTGTACTCGAACCTTTAACAAATGTAATAAATGGAAAAGTAATTACCGTGCAATATAAAATGTTGTTTACCATGATAGATGGGAAAGTGTGCAACGCAATTTCATCAACGACTTCTACCCAACGATGCTACCTATGTGAAGCTACTTCAAAAGATTTCAACAACATTGACAAGATATTGGGTAGAAAAATAAACGAATCAAATTTACGATTTGGAATATCAATTTTGCATGCATGGATTCGAATGTATGAATGTTTACTGCATTTATCATATAAATTGACCATTAAGAAATGGCAAGTACGCGAGAAAGAAGAAAAAAATATAGTCGCTGAACGGAAAGCAAATATTCAAAAAGGACTAAAAATGAAATTAGGGCTTATTGTCGATCACCCGAAACAAGGTTTTGGAAATACTAATGATGGAAATACGGCGCGACGTTTTTTTGAGGCTTCGACTACGGTTGCTGAGATAACGGGATTAGACGAGACGATAATAAAAAGATTTTATGTAATTTTACAAGCAATTTCAAGTGGATACGACATTGATACGGTCAAATTTGAAGAATATGCTATACAAACCGCGCGTGAATTTGTAGCTAAATATCCATGGTATTACATGCCGACCACGGTCCACAAATTATTAATGCACGGTTCTGTGATTATTTCATATTTCCTGTTACCGATCGGACAATTATCAGAAGAAGCACAAGAATCCCGAAATAAAGATTTTAAAAGATATCGCGAGAATTTCGCAAGAAAGTGTTCGAGGCAAAAAAATTTAGAAGATATCTTTAACTGGTTGTTAGTATCCTCGGATATATATGTAAGCAGTATTAGAAAATTGCCTAAAAAAAATTGAAAAAATTTTCTGAAGAAGCAATACAACTTTTATGCTGCCCGAGGATTTCACGGCAAGACATAAATGAATCAAATACTCAAAGCAGTAGCGATGATTACAGCGACTCAGCGGATGAATAATATTATTATTAATAGTATTGTTATACCTACATTCATTTCTTAAATATATAGTAATGTCCTATAATCGATACTAAAATTTATTTGTAATTTACACACGCCTCAACCTTCTACAAAATTAAATTAATTTTCTACTTAATTTTCATTATATCGCATCGGCCATTTTGTTTATTGAAATTTACACATCAGATTCTTAATCAATGATCCAAAAAACGGGAGTATACCAATTTTCAAGCAAATCGAAGTACATTTGATATTTTGTCCACGTTTTCGGGAAAAAACCCCACTGTGCGCCGGCTCGGCACGCGTTCTCCGACGCGAAGTTGTCGACACGAGGATCCGCGAACGAAAGCGGAAGATCCGGCGCGAGCGGGTCGATCACCCGATCGCTCGTTCCGATCGCGAAAAGGGCTGCGCGAGATAGCGGCGCCGCGGATCCGCCAATCTGGTCGCTCGCCCGGCATGTCGCCGGGTCCGCAGGGGCGCGATCGCTGTCCGCGTTTTTCCGGGCGCGAAAGTCGCCCCGCGCGGCTCGCAGGGTCGGGGCGGTCGATCCTGGGCCCGCTCTCCGGCGCGCCGGTCCTTCGGCTCCGCCGATCCGGCCGCCCCTCCGGGGACCTCAGCCCGTGCTCGCCCCTCGGCTCCCTGTCCGGCCGGCGCCTTGTCTCTCGCCCCTCAGGGGCGACTCCGCGTGCTCGGGCTCCAAGCTCCAGGGCGGCTCGACCCCTCGGCGGTCATCGTCCGGCGGCGTCCCTTGCCCGCGCCTCTCGACTCGCCCCGCTCTCCGCCTGGCCCCTCGGCTTCCCCGCGGCCGCCGCTCGCTGGCCTCCGCGCTCTCGCCCCTCTGCTCCCCCCTTTTCTCCTCCCGTGCTCGACTCTCGGCTCCGCTGTCAGCTGATCTTCGGGGATGATTCGGTCGGCTCGGTGACGCTCCAAGGGCGCGATACAAAAAGAAAAGTCTCGGGTAAGCGGGCAGTCAAAAAAAAGGTGTGTTTGCGACCCCGGGAGGTTTCCCTACGGCCTCGCGCGGATCCTCTGTTCCCGGGCGGACCGACACCGCGCCTTGGGACGGCAGCGGGGAGCTGGCACGCGGCAGCTGATCCGCCACGTCACAACATATATACATATATTACAAAAAATATTAATAATTTTTAGATCAACATACTTGTAAGAACTCGTTTGCAGAAACTTCGTTGTCTCCAAATTTTATGATCTTTGGAGCCATGTCAATTAAAAAATTAAGCACTCGGTTATTCTGCCTGAAAGTTGTTGCATGACATACTCCAAATCTTTGCGACACATCTCTAAGGCAGACTTTATTCCCAGCAAACCTATGGAGTGTTCAATAATTACTATTAACACAGAAATTATGAGTAGTAGTTCAGTACAAATAAATAGCAACTTACCACAAAAAAGATAAAATATCCAATTCTGCGGTAGTAGGTTCACTACCTCCGTTACTCCGATCAAATGGATAGAATTTGGAATGTTCATAAATTTCAATTATTTTATAAGCTGTTGGTCTTGCAACGCGAAAATGACTTTTGAACTGCAACAATAATATAATTATTAATTATATATATACATATAATTATGTGTAATAATCACAATGTTTGACTAATTGGGCTTCAATGTTTTATATAAGCCCTACATTACCATCTAACATAAAAAATAAAATCTATGCGTAATTTTACTGAACATATTACGCGTCGCACTTAGTGGGAATGAGTCTTACAAACAAGTTATACTTTAGAATAACTTTGAGAATCAGCTTTTCTTCCATTGGCAGTTTGGAACCAACGCTTAATTTTTGCCTCAGTGTCAGTTAAAAAACTCGAAGGAAAACGCAATTTAACTGCACCTGCACATAAAGACGATTAAAATAATATTATCAACAAAAGAAACACACTAATATACAGGGTGTACGAATAAGGTCGGAACCCTTGAATATTTCCGAAAATATAAGGTTTTTCAAAAATGTGTCGGACATCAGTTTTATGGTTTCGAAATGGCTATAAGATGGTACCATTGATTTGACCTTGCATATTCGTTTTGAAGGTCACTTGAAGGTCACCATTAATTTCTTATATTAAACACCCTATTTTTTATTACATATTCTTATAGCTTACCTCGAGAGCTTTCCAAAACGCTATAATAGAGAATTTTTTATTAAGAACTTTTTGAATTATTAAGATTTGAAAGTTTCAATATTTTGACATAAATTACAAAATATCTCGTAAAATATTCATTTTTTATCATATTACCTTAATACTTTTTTGAACAGAGTAATGAGACAAATCAAACGGTGTAAAGAAAACATAAAATTGTTTAAAAAAAATTATTTTATTACTTGTTACAAAATTGTGTTTTCTTTACACCGGTTGATTTGTCTCATTATTTTGTTCAAAAAAGTATTAAGGTAATATGATAAAAAATTGAATATTTTACAAGATATTTTGTAATTTATATCAAAATATTGGAACTTTCAAACCTTAATAATTCAAAAAGTTCTTAATAAAAAATACTTTATTATAGCGTTTTGGAAAGTTCTCGAGGTAAGATATAAAAATGTGTAATAAAAAATAGGGTATCTAATTTAAGAAATTAATGGTGACCTTCAAGTGACCTTCAAAACGACTATGCAAGGTCAAACCAATGGTACCATTTTATAGCCCTTTCGAAACCATAAAACTTATGTCCGACACATTTTTGAAAAAACCTTATATTTTCCGAAATATTCAAGGGTTCCGACCTTTTTCGTACACCCTGTATATTTTATATCATACGGATACAAAAGAAATAACTTCATGCAAGTGGAATGGGATTTGTTATAAATTAAAAAATTAAGATCACAACTTACCAAATACAACTTCACATAATTTGGTGTCACAAAATTTCAATTTATCGCTTTCCGATCCACTCCAACTTATTTGTTTGGCAAGAGTATTAGAAATTAACTTCGACAAAATATTCCCTGTGACACTGCGTTCTGAGGAAATAGCCGAACCTCTGTTCAACTATAAGCGCACTTAAGCGGCGAGCACTTGCCTACAAAAATATGTTTAAACTTTGTCGTTCGCTAGAATATTATATAAAAAAAGGAAAAGCAGAATTACCTGTGTTGTGGTCGTCGAGTATGCAGATACGTGGACACGAGACACGTGGAGACACGCAGCAACACCGGCACGTGCACGGCATGTGCACAAGACCGGTACCAAAACTTGGCTGTTTTGCCGAACCCCTGTTCAACTGGTTCAACTATATAAGCGCACTTAAGCGGCGAGCGCTTGCCTACAAAAATATATTTAAAC